AGTCAAGAGAGCACGAACCATCGTCGCCAGTCTATCTTGTACTATTCTTGAATATTTCCCCCCTGTGGAGGACATGCCCGGCTAAAGAGTAGTGGCGTGTGGCGTGTGGAATTCAGCTTCGACAGCGTCGTTCATGTCTTCAATCCCCCTCTGTCCTCTCCCAGCAAGCTCTGCCATTCCGTCGGCCGCTGCCCTCCGTACCCTTGTCGGGGCCCACGAGGGCCCCAACATGAAGGCCAAGACGAGCTCGGACTTTCGATCGTTTCCAACTCGCTTTCGGGTCAACTTTTCGCTCCATGTTGGCGCCTTCCAGGCCGTTGATTGGTCCCTCCGATCATCTCTCTCTGCCTCTCTTTGAATCAAGTTCGCCTAAAAGAAAGGGGCTCTCGCCATGTGCAAAACCAACGTGTATTTGGATGATTCTCGCCTGGTTTGGTGGGCACGCCTGGACGCCTCTCATAACCCCGTTCGTCTGCGGCATCGATCTGCATGCAAACCTCCGCGCTGTTCTGGACACGCACCAGGGCACATTTGTGGACAGTTCGAAAGCCCGATTTCCAGGGGTTGCCAAGGAGCCTCTGGTGCCCTCTGGGCCTCGTGACACGGGTGCTCTCAGAGGCCACCTGGGCCTCTGGGGAACTTCTGGAGACGCCGTGGGCCAAGGATGCCTCCCCTCTCCCTGGGCGACGCAATTCTTTCGTGATGCAGCTCCCAGGGGATCTCGGCCCCTTGACTGGTTTTGGTACTTCTTCATCCTGTCTTGGAGCCATCTCCGTCTCTTCCGGCGAGGCCCAGAATGGGCGGGCGGCGAACGCGAAGTTACTTGAAACTGTCCATGGTGAGGCGAGCGGGCGGCTCGCGGGTGACCTTCGACAAGCTGCTGCTCTTGACTCTGCTGATCAAAAGCGCACGCTTGTACAGGTCTCATTCCGAATAGGAGGGGGACGAGGAGGAGGAGGAGGAGGGGGAGGAGGAGGAGGGGGAGGGGGAGGAGGGGGAGGAGGGGGAGGAGGAGGAGAGGAGGAGGAGGGAGGAGGAGGAGGAGGAGGAGGGACCCTTTGAACCCTTTGCAAAGCACAGAGGAGAGGAGAAAGACGACGACAACGACGACGACGACGACGGGGAAAGTGGAGAGGAGAAGAGGAGGCAGGGCGGAGGAAGAATTCTGCGGGCGCGATGGCCCGTGAGGGGCAGAAACGTACAGAATTCTCAGCATTGGCGCATCTAGATTATGATGAAGGAGAAAGAGGCGGAGGAGGACGAGACGGGAGGAGAATGAGGAGGAGAAGGATGAGGAGGAGGAAGAAGAGGAGGAGGAGGAGGAGGAGGGATGAGGATGAAGTAGAGGAGGGTGGATGAGGGGCGGGCGCCTGTGCGCCTCTATTCATTTTCGAGGCTCGTGCCCGAGTGCTGAAAGCCCTGATGAACTGACCGAACACAAATCGTTTGAATCTGTCCGGTGCCAATGAACTTGGTCTCTAACAAGACTCTGCCAGTTCTCATCAATAGGAATGAATACACTTGGCGAATTCTGATGCCACCTGTACTTTCATGTGGGTCCCAGACTGGTGCTGGAACCTGCGAGCACTAAGGCTGCCTGCGCACGACGGTACTGCGTCGCGATGCTTCTCGTCTGTGCGGGCAGGACAAGCAACTGCTGCTGTGAGAAAGCAGGGAAGCAGCACAGGCACCGAGTTCGTGGCGACCCTTTCGTTGCAGAGTCTATCAGAAACTTCTGGGCCTCCAGACTGACTCGTGTAGGCACGGGACCGACGCGGCTCCATGTATGCTTCTTCTCTGCTCCGATGCTATGCGACGCGACGCAACGCAATGCAGCGGAAACCATTTCAAGGGAACGCAACGCACAGATAATGCGATCCAATCCCATGCATAACAATCTGGCGCAGTCTGACGCAACTCAACACACATCCAGAGGAGGCATCGCACGCCATGCGGTGCACATCAACACAATGCAGTGCAACGGCGTGCAGTCAAATGTACGGCAATGCGGCGCAGTACGAAACGCTGCGAGCAAGCAGCGCAACTCAATTGAGAGGAAAGATCAGCAACGAGCATCAGTGAACAACACTGCAAGTCAAGACAAGCAAAACACTACAATGCGAATGCACGCAAGCCAATGCAAGCAATGCACAGCAATGCGAGTTCAGGCGCAGCAGTGCGCGGCAATGCAACGCATTGGAAGACACTTGTAAGCACAGGAGCCCGAGAAACACCTGAGTAACCCGCCCCAGCACCCGACGTGGCACCACCCAGTCGCAAGTGGCCCTCTTGCACCAAATTGGTTAGAGCCCTAGGCAACACGTGATTGGGGCAAAGCGTATTTGGCTACCTATCCATCCATGTATTCAGGATGGCACGCGCGATAGCACACATGCATTGCCTTGGAGGCCCTCGGCGACCCTGGAAAGGCCCGTAACGCGCAAAGTAGTCCCAAAGATGCGGCACATGTAAACAAAAGGAATGTGAACAATGTGTGAGAGAATGCCAGCCAATTAAAGTGGAGGACGCGCCGCTGGATGCCCCAAAGGGGGTGGGGGTCGGGACCCGCCCCCACCCTTTCATGGTTCCGTCTTCCCCGGACCCTCACCCCCACCCGTGTCTCGATCCGTTACCCCGGATCCCCCCCCCTTAAAGGGGGGGACCCCTCTCCCCCCCACGTTGGATTTGAAAATCCCCCCTCATCCCCCCCTTTGGCCACGCCGCCCCCCCTGCCTCCTGAACCATACTACACTACTCCCAACACCCTATCCTTAGCACCCTCCCCTCACCCTACTTCTCACCATAACCCTAACATCCTAACCCTGCACACTAACCCTAACATCAATACCCTAACCCCAACACCCTAACTACCTTACCCAAACATCCGAAAGCTCTAAACCTCTAATGCCTCAGCCCTAACACCCTAATCCGAACACCCTGACCCTAACACTCTAGCAACCTCACCCTACCACCCTAACGTTGAACACTATCCCTAATCGCTAGCCCTCAACACTCTAATGCTGACACCGTAACCCTGAGCACTAGCCCTACTCCAATAACTCCCTAACACCCACCTAACACCCTGACCCTAACACTCTGACCCTCAAAACCTGACCCTAACACCCTAATCCTGTCACCCAGACCCATAAGACCCCAGCCCTAACACCCTACCGACATAACCCAAACATCCTACCCCTAACCCCAACACCTTGGCCCTAACACCCTCACCCTAACACCCTAACCCAAACACCCGAATGCCCTAACCCAAACACCCAAACTTTAACACCCGAACCCTAACACAATAATCTCAACACCCTCACCCCAACACCCTCAGCCTAGAACCCTAACCCTCACACGCTGACCCTACAATCCTAATCCTGACACCTTAGCCCTAACACCTAAACTCTAACACCCGAGTCCTGACACCTGAACCTTAAACCGAACCCCAACACCCTAACGCCCTCACCTTAACACCCTAACCCTAGCAACCTATCCCACATACACTAACTCGAACACCCTGCCACCCTCACGCGCTTTCCCTAACACCGTAATCCCGTCACCCGAACCTCAAACCCCAACCCTAACCCTTACACCCAAACATAACAGCCCTACCATCCTACCCCTAAGCCTACTGCCCAAACTACCAAACCCTAACGTCCCCCCCCCCCCTGAAACCATGCCCCTAACCCTAAAACCCCTATCACATAACACCAACCCTACGACCCTACTTCTAACATACCGCCCTGACCCTAACCCTAACACCCTTCACCTAACACCGTGACCCTAACCCTACACTGACATAACACTCTAACCCTTACCCCAGCAACACATCCCATGACCCTAAGTCCTAACCTTAACAACCTTATCCTAACAAACTCTGAATCTTGCCGATTCTCGGAACTTTGCTCGGAGCTGGGGTCCTGATGTATCCAATGTGCAGGGGCAGAGGATGGTGAACGCGGTGCGTGCAGTCTGGGCAACCCGAAGTAAGGGAAACTGAATTGAATCCGAGTCGCATTGCGGCTGGCATGGATGAAACAAGGGTGAACCAGAACAGCGGGGGGCTGATGAGGATGCGATGCGGACGAGGATGTTGGAGAAAAGTGAGGCCGAGGCAGAAACCGGATCGCGTGAACGTAAGACGACTCAAAACCAGGAGGTGAACATAGGCATTGCTGAAACCGACACGGCGGTATACTGAAGGCGATACATGAACGCGTGATGGTTTTCAATATCTCTTGCCTCATGTGAACCACCGTGGGATTGCGTTGGGTTTTTACGAGCCGTGTTAGGACCACATTGGCCTGCTTGGTGGCCATGTTGGCCATCTTGGGCATCATGGAAACCATTTTGGCGTATCCTCGTGGGATGTTCGAACCATATGGGGAGGGGGGTCCATCTTCGGGTGGCATCAGACGCCACATTGCGGCCGTCGTTGGGCCGAACAGCCTTCGGTGTGGGCGCGATGACAGCCACCCCTCGGAAACTCATTACAGGACAAGGAAAGTGCACAGATTTGTCGGCACAATTCCGCGGCTAACCTCCCACATAACATGGATGGACAAACACTTCATGAACTGACCGAACTGGAAGCATACAACCGTGGCAACGAACACAGCTGGGCAAGAGGCGAACAAGACACCAATGCCCTCGGCAACGACACCCTCAAACATCTCTTCGCCAAACTCACTCACAAACGCAATCGAAACGCACTCGACTCGTACGACCTGTTCTTTCGAATATCTCGCACCCTTTGGGGTAGAACCATGAAAATGCCCGGCGATCCGCAATGGTGTGACAGTGCCAGCTAAGGCCATTCTCATACGATAGGCCAGAGCATAGCGCACACATCGTTATCAACCAACAGCAACGCACTGTCACGCTTTAGTGTCATGCGCTTCCCGGTGTGACCTGGCACGCACGTTCAAGTGCAATGCCCATGACCACCTGGAACCAACGCAGCTAACAACATAGACTGCCATTCAAACGAAGAAAATTAATCATCCCGACTCGCTGCTCTCCGCGAGATGTCCAGGTAGCGGGCCACTGTGGCCATGGTGTCCTCCAGTTGTAGCGCCAACGCATCATGCCACATGCAAAGCACTCGAGAACAGCAGGCAGAGGAGCGGTGACAACATCCTGGAACAATTACTTTGTAGCGGGGCGTTGCTGGTGAAATGCGACCGTATCTCTTGCGGACTTGGGCGACCCTGGCATTGACACACCATATCTAGGAGCCTCCGAGACGCTTGCTTTCGTCTTCTCTGTGCACGACAGCGCTGCAACGACTTTCAAGCAACATCAGCTGCGTTCGCCACAGTGCTCCTGTGCGACCGCCTTGCCCATGATCAGAATGGCAAACACGTGACCGCACACCGTTCAAATTCTATGGACCGTGGCTGAAGGCCACATGCGCCAGCGGGTTAACTTGTATACGCCCAAGAGAACCACAGCAGGCAAACCAAGTCGATTCTGGCGATCCAACCCTGACCTTCCACCCAAATTCCCCCTAATATCCCAACCTCCATCGGTCGCGACCAATCGCGAACGATCGGTCGCGATCGATTTTGAAGCAAATCTGCCTCGACGAGAAAGTTCCGGCATCGGACCGCCCGAGGTCTCGACCCATTCACCGGGACCGGTCTTTCATCCCGAATTTTTTTTTGACGGTCCGGGGGCCTGGTAGGGGCCTCTCGGAGGCCGGACATCAGCATAGCCAAAACCTCTCCCGCCGTGCTCTTCCACGGCGATTGGGTGTGCGGGGAGATGGTGGACCCCCTGCGGTGGAGCTCCCCACCAGCGCTGCCCCAAGAAAGTCCGCACGGCCGTGCGCCGACGCCAGCTCCCCCCCCCTTCCGACGACGGCGGCGGCAGTCCGAAACGTCGCGGGAGGGATGCTTTCACTCCGTGTCCTGGCAAGCGCGCGCGCGCGCGGCGCGATTCCAACCTGAGAGCTTCCATCAACCCTTTGTGGGCGTCCCTCCCCGGTGCGCTCCAGGCACTGCCGCCGTGCGCACCGGGATCCGCATCGGCGTTCGCATAGGAATCCGCATTAGAGGAGGAGGAGGAGGAGGAGGAGGAGGAGGAGGAGCAGGAGGAGGAGGAGGGAGGGAGGGAGGGAGGGAGGGAGGAGGAGGAGGAAAAGGAGGAGGAGACAAGTGGTTCAAGGAGTCAGTCATTCCGATCTCCTCTTTGCCCTTCAGGGAGAGGTTTGCCTCGACCTCTCCCCCTACGTCTCTCACTGACTCTGAAACGGCTGGACGGGCCGGGTCGCGGGTCGGTAGAGCGTCCAAGATCGCCCTAGACGATCCCGGGTAACCCAAGAAGGTCTCCAAGATCGCGAGAGATAGCTTCCAACATGCCTCCAAGAGGCGCCGTGACCGTCCCAAAGCGGCTGCAAGTGGCCAGGGAGACTCCCGAAGACCCATGGAAAAAGGCCCAAATCCTTCCGGGACCGAATGGCAACCTTTTCGCTTCCGATGGGCTCCCAAGGCTTCAAGATGGTTCCCAAATGGCCCAAGCCATCCCCCAAATGGGGCACAATGAGGGCCCAGGACAGTCCCAAAAGCGCCCTAAGAGGATCCCGAATGACGATTGCGATGGCCCCAGTGGGGGACTGACATTAAGAACCCTCCTTTCTTTGGTCGATGGTTTCTGCAATCTGCGATGGCTTGAAGGCTCCCAAATGAGCTCCAAGAGGGCCCCACGAGGGCCTCAAGAGAGCCCCAATGGCATCCAAATTGGCCCCAAGAGGGCCCCGCGATGGCCCAAATGTGCCTTCAAGGGGCTCCCAGAGCGCGAACGCATGCTGCTACGCATCCCTGATTAAAGCAACTCGCCCGATGATTGTGTTTGGATGGGCTGGCGGGGGTGCGCGAAGCGCCGCGATTTTCGTAGAAGAGACGAGGGGGTCGAGGGGGAGGAGGGAAGGTGCGCAATGACAGCGATGATGATGGTGATGATGATGCTGATGATGCTGCTGCTGATGATGCTGCTGATGATGATGATGTGATGGTGATGATGCTGCTGCTGATGATGATGGTGATAATGATGCTGACGATTATGGAGAAACTGATGATGATTGTGATGATGATGAGTGTGATGATGATGCTGGTGGTGATGATGATGATGTTGGTGATTCGGATGATTATGATGCTGATGATGATGTTAGTGATGGTAATGCTGATGATGCTGCTGCTGCTGATGATGATGGTGATGGTGACGGCGATTATGCTAACAATGATGACGGAGATGATGGTGCTGATGACACTGATGATGACGATGACGGTGAGGATGATGATGCTGATGATGATGCTGCTGGTGATGGCGACGGTGATGACGATGCTGCTGCTGCTGATGATGATGTTTTGTTTGGGGGGAAGTCGCCGCGCCGTTTACCGTTAAGGATACGACCCGGCACAGTGACGACGAGGGAACCAGGGGGAAGAGGGGAGGCAAACGAGGCCGAGGGGGAGGAAACGACGGCCCCAAACGCGGAAAAAAACATCGCGTGGGGCCGAGGAGCCAAAGGGGGTGGCGGCAGACCGAAGGGACAAGATGCAACGAAGAAAGCGACAGGAGCGGACCGGGTCCTAAGCCTCACCTCGGAGCCGAAGCCGCGGAACTGGAACCCGAAGAGGTACATGCCAATCTTGCCCATTGAGCCATCTGTAAGCGCCAGCTGTTCGAGGGCGATGGCTCAGGAGGACGCGAAGCACTGAAGGTGGCGGCCTGCTCCGCTGTCGCTCAATCCTCTGCAGCAGCTGCCAAACGGGCTTGCTCCGATACGGCGGTCCTCAAACATGGTCATCTGCTGGTCGAGCACGCTCTGGATAGCGGAGAGAACGTCGCCATCAGGAAGAACACCACTAGGATGCCCAGGAAGATCGGCAGTGCCACCGCGAGGAACATCTGTCTTAGGAGGGGCAGCGCGCTCGGCTAAGTCAGGATGTGTCTGCGCGAACGGCGTGATCAGGAAGCCAGCCGCGACCTTCAGGAGGAACATCAGCACGCAAACCACCAGGCCCATGTAGATCTGCACGACCAAATACACGACGAAGATCGTCTTGACAAGGCTCAGGAGGAAACGCCAACTCAGCATCGCCACCCGGTAATTCTGAGGCAGGTTCGCACCAAACTCGTGATGTGGATCAGGAAGCTCGCGGGCATCATGTAGCGGCTCAACACAACCATGCTCAGGACACAGATCTTCCCCACCAGGTTCATGAAGAAGAGACCGAGGGCGCGCCGCTGGATCACCCAAAGGGGGGGGGGGGGTTCGGACCCCCCCCCCCCCCCCCCCCCCCCCCCCCCGGCCCCGACCCCCCCCCCCCCCCCCCCCCCCTTGCCCGAGCCGTCGTCCCCCCCCCCCCCCCCCCCCCTTGCCCCGAGCCGTCGTCGGCGAACCCCCCCCCCCCCCCCCCTTTCCCGAACCGTCGTCGGCGAACCCCCCCCCCCCCCCCCCCCCCCCTTTCCCCGGCTCGCGCCCCGGCTCCGGAACCCCAACCCTACCACCCCCGCCCCACCCCCCCCGAACCCCGAACCTCTAACCCAAACCCTGAACCCTAATCCTTAATCCCTAACCCGAAGCCTAAACCCTAACCGTAGACCTAACCCTGACCCCAAACCCTAACACTAAGCCTAGCCCTAACCTAAGCTCTAAACCTGAACCCTTAACCCTAACCCCTCAACCCTATCCCTACACCCTAACCCCAACCCTACCCCTCACCCTAAACCCTAAACCCTAACCCTAACCCTAAACCCTAACGTCAACCCCAACCCTGACCCTAAACCCTAAACCCTAGCCCTAAACTCTAAACCCTAACCCTAAACCCTAACCCTAACCCTAAACCCTAACCCCCTAAACCCTACACCCTAAACCCTGACCCTAAACCCTAACCCTAACCCTAACCCCTATTCCCTAATCCTTAACCCTAACCCTAAACTCTAGCCCTAACCCTAACCCTAAACCTGAACCGTAACCCGAAACACTATGACCTAACCCTAAACCTTAACCCTAACCCTAAACCCTGAACCCTAAACCTTAACCCTACCCGAACCCGAAACCTTAACCCTCAACACAAACCATACCCCTAACCCTAAACCCTAACCCTAACCCTAAACCCTAACCCTAACCCCCTAACCCTAAACCCTAACCCTAACCCTAACCCTAACCCTAACCCTAAACCCTAAACCCTAACCCTAAACCCTAAACCCTAAACCCTAAACCCTAAACCCTAAACCCTAAACTAAACCCTAAACCCTAAACCCAAAACCCTAAACCCTAAACCCTAAACCCTAAACCCTAAACCCTAAACCCTAAACCCTAAACCCTAAACCCTAAACCCTAAACCCTAAACCCTAAACCCTAAACCCTAAACCCTAAACCCTAAACCCTAAACCCTAAACCCTAAACCCTAAACCCTAAACCCTAAACCCTAAACCCTAAACCCTAAACTGAAGCGCGACCCCTCGAAGGGTCGCGCACCGATGTCGAACCTTGTCCGCTCTGAAAGCGAGCGATAGTCGAGCGCCCAGATCGTTATCGGGCCGGCGCACGCGCTGAGCTTCGGCTCTTAGATAACCCTTAACCCTGGTCTCCATTGCCCGGGCGTTTCTCTGCTGGCCCCTGGAAGGATAAACCTCACCTGGGAGCGCTCCCAGGCGCTCCCAAGCGCTCCCAAGCGCTCCCAGGCGCTCCCAGGCTCTCCCAAGCGCTCCCAAGCGCTCCCAAGCGCTCCCAAGCGTTCCCAGGTGCTCCCAGGCGCTCCCAAGCGCTCCCAGGCGCTCTCAGGCGCTGCCAAGCGCTCCCAGGCGCTCCCCGGCGCTCCCAAGCGCTCCCAAGCGTTCCCAGGCGCTCCCAGGCGCTCCCAGGCGCTCCCAAGCGTCCCAGGCGCTCCCGAGCGCTCCGTGGCGCTCCCCGGCGCCCGGGAGCGCTCCCCGGCGCCCGGGGGCGCTCCCCGGCGCTCCCAAGCGCTCCCAAGCGCGCCCAAGCCCCCCGGGGCGCTCCCCGGCGCCCGGGTGCGATCCCCGGCGCTCCCAGGCAGTCCCAGGCGGTCCAGGCGGTCCCAGGCGCTCGCTCCCAAGCGCTCCCATGCGCTCCCAAGCGCTGCCAAGCGTTCCCAGGCGCTCCTAAGCTTTCCCAGGCGCTGTCAGGCGCTGCCAAGCGCTCCCAAAGCGCTCGCAGGCGCTCCCAGGCGCTCCCAGGCGCTCCCACGCGCCCCCAGGCGCTCCCAGGCGATCCCAGGCGCACCCAAGCGTATTCAAGCGCTTCCAGGCGCTCCTGAGCGCTCCCAGGCGCTCCCAAGCGCTGCCAAGCGCTCCCATGCTTGCGAGCCCTTGGGAGCACTTGACAGTTGCGAAGGGGCGCCAAGCCCGCCCCCTCGCGCTCCCCCTCCGCGCCGGCGCTCCCAGGTGCCCCCAGGCGCTCCCAGGCGCTCCGGGGCGCTCCCTGGCGCCCAGGGGCGTTCCCCGGCGCTCCCAAGCGCTCCCAGGGGTTCCCAAGCGCTCCCAAGCGCTCCCAAGCGCTCTTAAGCGTTCCCAGGCGATGTCAGGCGCTGCCAAGCGCTCCCAAGCGCTCCCAAGCGTTCCCAAGCGCTCCTCGGCGCTGCAAAACGCTCGCAAGCGCTCCCAGGCGCTCCCCAGCGACCCAGGCGCTCCCAGGCGCTCCCAGGCGATCCCAGGCGCACCCACGCGTTCTCAAGCGCTCCCGGGCGCTCCCAAGCGCTCCCAAGCGCTTCCAAGCGCTGCCAAGCGCTCCGAAGCGCTCCCATGGTTGCGAACCCCTGGGAGCACTTGGCAGTTTCGAGGGGGCGCCAAACCCGCCCCCTCGCGCACCCCTTCCGCGCCGGCGGTTCCAGGCGCTCCCAAGCGCTCCCAAGCGCTCCGGGGCGCTCCCTGGCGCCCGGAGGCG